TCCTCTGTTTGCCTGGTGTCGGCCTCGGCCATAATGCTCTAACTCGATATAGCAGAGACCAATGGTGATTCAGTGGGTCTCTGTCGCTGTTTCGACAGCTGAAATCTGGCACGATAGCTCAGCATTCGCCTAGCTCTTGGCTTAACACCTCATATCCGCCTGGCTTCCGAAAAAGCCTCGTCTCCGGCTAGCTCCGCTGGAGCCGCTCGCTCGAGTTGGCTTGAGGTATGACGTTCATATTTCCACCTGAACAGCCACAAGAGCCCCGTTTCAGGGTTGCTGCTGTCGCCACCACCTCATGTCAGATTCACTCCTGATATGATAACGCCATCTGCACTTAAAACCTGGCAAAACGGCCACACCCCGATCTGTCTCCTAGCAAACAGCCTCATCTCCGCCTGGTCCCCTTTACAACAGCCCCATCTCCACCTTGTTCAGCATCATCTCCACCCTACAGCAGAACTGGCCGTATCCCGACTACGGCAGCCCCATCTCGGTCGGGCTGCTGGCGCAGCGGCGCCGTGGGCGGCCGGCTGCTGCTCCGGCGGCGCGGGTCGCGTCTGGAGAGGCCGTCCCGCTGACCCACTAACGCTCTGAAGGTCAACAAACCTGAGCGGAACGCGGAACCAGAAACGCGGTCAGCCGGCGCCGGGCGGCCGGCGAGTGACGTCACCGGTCGAAGAGCGCGTCACAGAGCCGCCGGCGCTGGCTGCCGGGTGCGGGGACCCGCACGAGCCGCGCCGGCCGCGCCCCACCTGAGCTCACGCTGCGTGAACTCGGCCGGCCACCGCCGGCCATTCCTCTGCACCGGTGCCCGTGCCTCTCGAGTCCCAGCTGCAGAGACCGGGCGGCGCCCGCGGGGCATTCCTCTGCGCGTGCGCCGTGCAGGGATGGGTGTGAGCCTCTCACCCGGGTCAACACTAGCACGCTCAGGCATGCGCGGAAGCGAGCCGCACCCGGTGATGCACGACTATCGGATCCGCGCGGTGGCAGCGCACGCGCCCGCGGGATCTGGGTCGGATCGCTGCGTTGACGCAATCAATGCAGGAAGCCAACTCGTCGCATAACTCAGGCATGAGCGTGACAAGTCCAGCGACACATACTTCGACCACAGGCTCATCAAGCACGCAGCTAACTCGTCCAATCAGCACTGAAGTGTCATGTAAAGCTCATATCGAAGCAGCGTGGGTGGATACGGAGCCTCCGTGACACCGGTCTTAGACATGGTTCAGGGCAAACCCCAGTTGCACTCGCGGCCGCTCTGGACGCGGCTGCCGGCTGCTCTAGATGCAGCTCCGGCGACTTGGAGCGGTTCAGACGATTCAGCTGCATTTGCTGGCGACTTAATCGCATCCCCTTCATCTCCAAACCGCGGCTTTCCATCACATATCGGGGCGCGATACGGCCATAGTTGTCAAAGCGCCCCCCCCCCCGGCCCAAAAAATATATCACCTGTCATATGTTAGAGACTAGGAAATTCTGACCCGCACCTTTCGGCAGCTCTAAGACGCAATTTCATTCAGATCTGAACTGCAGCCCCATACGTCCGCGAGCCCCAGCTTCTGCATGTGTTATGTACGTGGTTGGGCCGCAGTTCCCACCATGTTCGAGCCGCGGTCCTAGGCATCTCCGAGTCGCAGCCCCACGCTCAGCTCTGGAGGAGCCAGCCCGAGCCAGCGGCGGTACCGCGGGCTCGTGCGCCCCCAGCGCGTCGCCCGGTCGGCGCGCGCGGCTCCGTTCTGCGCGGCGCGTGACACAGATGAGCGGCACCGCGGCCGGCCCCGCCCGACAGCTGGCTCGCGGCCGGGCGCGGCCGACGCCAGCGCTGCCCGCCCCGGCCGGCCGGCCCGCGCGCCGCTCATTCATTCGACCCGCCCGCTCGCCGGCCGGCCGGCCGGGTCGGCGGCGGCGGCAGCCCGGCAGGCGCGGCCGCCGCCCCGACGGTGCCGTTAGACGCCTCTGAACGGGCAGGGGCGCGCCCAGCGGCGCCGGCGCCGGCGACGCCGACGGGAGCGGTCTCGAGGTGCGATGCGCTGTGGGGATGTCTGTGACACGGCCATGTGAGGAGGCTGATGGGACATTGGTTGGGTCACCGGTTGGTGGGTGGACAACAGGAGCGTTGTTAGCGAGGTGGGCTGTTGAAGATCGACGCGAGAGGGCTTCTGAATACGGGCCTGCCGGCAGCCGCGTGTGGCCACCTGTTGAACGCCGAGCCACGGTCTTCCGTGCGACCTTGTGACCTCGAGTGGTTGAGGTCAACGCGGGTCAGACGGCGTCGCACTTCACCAACGGACCACCGACCGGTCTGTGATGCCGATCTAGTAGACTGGAGGGCGATATGAGCTGCCCGACGCGAAACGACTGGGTCAACGGCCATGCAAATGCGACGTAAATGCGGCAGAAATCGTCTGCATCGTCCTACCATGCCCAGAAGCGTGCCACTGCTGCAGCACTGCCTCATTTCCAAAAACATGAACTGTGCGACTGCAGATAGTGACATACATCCGTCCTTTCATGTCATGCAATTCAATGTCCCCAAATTTCTCATGTTGCCTGAAATCAACGCGGACGAGCGCACTGACACAGAAGTACAACGGCATGCATAAGTCACGTTGACATAACGTGAATGATATCACGGGCTCACGTTTCCAAGCCCTGGTTGAATGTGAGCCAAGAAGCTATCGATGAAAAATGACTGAAATGTTGGTAAAGTGGAGGGCGCTGTGTCCAAATGGGGGTTTTCATATCGATCAAAACGCTACTTCTAGGAAGAGAACTCTTGAGCTAAATTGCAGCAGCAGAAAATATTCAAGACGTTTTCTTACGGCAACGAGTTCTGTAACTGCTGTACAAGTTCTGCTCCGTTTAGTTAGTTTGGTTTTGTAAAAAGTTCTGTTAGTAACAAAAAGTAGACAAATTTTGGGCGCGATTTAGAATAGCGCATATCGTGAGGAACACTGCATATTTTCTTAAGATAACTTCATCTCTCATCCTACTCGGCATGATGCTGCGCCCGTGCAGGTAATCCCGTCCCTGCCACAGGTGTGGGGCCTCGCGATGATTCATCGCTGACGTCACACTGCCCCTGCCACAGGTGTGAAGCCCCACGGTGGAGTACCGCTGACCTAGGCCAATACGGCATGCATCATTCTAGCCATACGTGTTCCAACATCATCGCGGGCAAGAGTGAGCCACCGGCCTGACGTCCCTCCCCACCGCCAGCCATCGCGCGCCACCCCCAGCAGCTGGACGAGCTGCTCGTCCCGCTGCAGTGCGCCCGCCCTCCGTCATCCCCCGATCGGGCCGCCGGCGGAGCCGCGCTGCCACGGCCAGTCACGCCGGTGCCGGCCGCCTCGGCCAGCGTCAGGAACGCGGCCCGCACGGGTCATTATCCGACGCACACGCGCCACCGCGTCCGCCGGCGAAACAAGGTCACCATGACGCCGCGTGGGCTACTTGGCCGCGCGCGCACGCGTGCGCCGCTCTCACTCTTGCCGACATCGGGAGCGGCGACCGCGGCGAGGGTGGCGCGCCGGCGCTTTTTGTGGCGCCGCAGACGCAGCTGCCGCCGGCTGCGGCGCACAGGCAAACTTTCCCGCAGCGGCTCCCAGCGTGCTAGGCGGCCGGGCCGGCTTACTTCGTGAGAGGCCGCCTGCTGGGGTTTTTGAGATGGGTTGTTTCCGGAGTCGATTTGCGTGCGGGATGCGAAAGCTGACAGGTGCGGCCGTCGCGCCGCTGTCCGACCATCGCAACTGACGCTAGCGCTTCGGAACAGTCTGGCCCGCCGCGTGATCCCGGCTCGGAGCAGCCTGCCCATGACGCCGACGCTCCGGAAGAGCCTGGCCCGCCGTGCGACCCCGACTCAGCGCAGCCCGCTCCTGGAACACGGACGCATGCCCGCCAGGCACTGATCCAGTGCAGCGGCGTCTCCACGCTGTCGGTGCAAGCGTACCACGGGTGGTCGATGGAGGGTGTCAGGAAGTTTCGCCGACCTGCGCCAATACTCACGCCGTGCCTCCTCAGCCGACATTGCCACGGCTCGACGCCCCGTTACCCTCAGCACACACCGTACCATATTTTGTGTCAGCTATGAGCTGCAAGAGTAGCTCAGATCGAGGCAACACGGATATCCGTCATCAAAAGCTGTCTTCGCGACTGTCCGCGAAATTTGTGTTAATGTGAAGTAGTCACGACTTTGTTCAGCGGTCAAACACCAGTTTAGATGCATCTAGCTTCGCAAAATCGCATCTTTTAGGCTGTTATGACAGCAAGGTTTGTTCAGGGGGTTTCACCCAGTTGTAAAGTTTTTGGGCAGCTAATATTACTGGTGCGAAAACGGGGCGTCCAGCGCTACATGATCCTGGTCTCTGGTGCGTGAAAGATTTCACGCACCATGCACCGTTAAATTGTGCATACAGCACGGCATAAAAAGAGAAGCCACGAGCACGTTATTTCATCGCAAACCCGCTTTCCAGGTCAGATCCACGCACATCAGTCTCCTTCGACCCCGAAACAGCCCCGGGATACGCTGAGCCCGGTGAGGGCCAGACGATAGCCATGTGGGCCCGGCGAGGACCAGATGACAGCCATGTGGGCCCGGCGAGGGCCAGACGGCAGCCATGTGGGCCCGACGAGGGCCAGACGGCAGCCATGTGAGCCTGGCGAGGGCCAGACGACGGCCATGTGGGCCCGATGGGGGCCAGACGGCAGCCATGTGGGCCCGGCGAAGGCCAGACGGCAGCCATGTGAAGGCCAGACGACAGCCATGTGGGCCCGCCGCAAAGCATGGGTTCGATCACATAACTGTCACACTGCGCTCCATATAGGAAAGAGAACAGTCACGCTGTGACACTACGCCAGAAGGGATCTCCAGAGGCCTAAATAGAGGTCGGCACCCTTCAGCACATACTCCCGGGCGGAAGAGGGCGGAGGGGGGGGGGGCATCGCGTGTGATGCTGCGCGTTCCTCTACACTTGGGTAATGACCCACAGTCTGCGACATGCAAGAGCACTCTAATGTATTCAGGAGGCATTTGGAAAATATCACGTAACAGCACCGCATGGCAACCGAGAGAAGGCAGAATGTTAGGACGCATGGCGTGGTCGCGCCGCCGCAAGCTTCCCTCCAGGGCATTCTCTCGGGCCCAGCCCAACAACGCCCGGGACGGGGAAGAGCCCGCCCGGAGCACACGCCCCACCCTGCGAGACCTCGCTTCCAGCATCAGCGCGGCAGCGAGGTCACGAGCTCCAGCTGTTGCCGGCGCGTCACCGGCTAGCCCCACCCGGCCCGGACCGACCCGCTCCCCACCGGCCGCCCAGGCTCCACAGGCCGCCGGCCCGGCCCGGAGCGCCCAGCACACCGGGCCGGTCCCTCACGTCTCCCGTCACACCGCACCGGCGGGGGCTCAGCCCTTGATAACGGCCACCGGCCTCAGCTTGATGCACTTCTTGCTGATGCCGGCCGCGTGGCACGTGTCCACCACGTCCGTCACGTTCTTGTAGGACTCTGGCGCCTCCTCCATCACCAGCTTGGGCGAGGCCACGCGCACAGAGATGCCCATCTCGTTCATTTTGGCCAGCACCTGCTGGTACTCCAGGTTGCGGCGCGACTTGGCCCGCGACATGGCTCGCCCCTGGCGGTGGAACGCGGAGTTAGACAGGCGGCGCCGGAAGACAGCATGCGCAAATCATCGCAAACAGCACAGAACAAAATTTTGCAGCAAACAACCACGATTCACGATTTCATTTGCATACAACATTTTCGTTTTCAACTCAGTCGGTCTGAAACGTACGCGAGAGAGTGCCACGCTCACCACAAGAGACCACGTCAGCGTACAGCCGGCAGCGAGCCCCGCGCCTGCCGGCGCCCGGTCCGACGGCCGGTGCAGGCGGCGCTGCTGGCGGGCCGAACTCACCGCCCCGTGACAGGTCGACCCGAACGTCTCGAGCATGCCCCGCTCGGTGCCGGTGAGCACGTAGCTGCAGGTGCCCATGGTGCCGCCGATGAGCACCGGCTGCCCGGTCAGCTGGTAGTCCACCGGGATCATCGGGTGGTGCGGAGGGAACGCCCGCGTCGAGCCCTGCGGCGGGTCAGCCGCTGGTCACTGCAGCTCTGTGGTGCCAGGTGCCAACGGCGGTTGGGCTCGACCGGCACCATGTTGCCGGTTACCCGGTCAGTCCGTGCCGAGTGGTGTCAGACGACCTCCGGTCGTGCCAGCATCTTTCCGACAACTACAACAGCTCAGACCGCATGGCCACAGTGTTATAATTTTAGCTTTTTCAGGGGATTCATCCCTGGTAAAATTTGTATCCCATCAGTTTGTGTTGGTTCATTCCAATGGTGCGTTCGTGTGAATGACGGAAGATCTCGTGACGGATTTTACACAAAACATCGGGTATTTCGGACACTAGACGGCGCTTGATGCCTGGGCCGCCGAAGCCCCACGGTATCCGATGGGAATTAAAGAGATCAGAAAATACGCGTCTAAATCTGATGAGTTCAACAGGCGTTGCGCTGCTTAGGGAAAAAGGTTTAGTTTGTTTCACAGAGAAATTGGTCATAAGAATTTCTTGTCGACACGCCGCAGGGTTTTCAAATCCAGTAGTGTTCATTTTGTGTTCACCTGGGCAAGCATCAGTGTGGAATGGGAAATTTGTTATAGCTGAAGACTGACAGCCTTTTGTGATTCAGTCCTAGCATATGGGGACTTTGGTTTAGAATATGACCCAAAAATGACAAATCTTTTAATGATTCAAATTACTTCTTACCTTTCCATTTAAGTCTTGAACTTACACTAATATAACAAGAAAGCAAACGGCCCTTTACCTAGTTTGATGAAAACCAACCTTTTCACGTTTTTTCGTTCAGTTAACTGAATGAATATTTTGGACAAGAAAATATTTAACACATTATTTTCATCTTCTCATATGGCTGTGATGATGCACATTCCAAATTGGTCATCGAAATGAGAACATGTCACTCAGTGCTTGAATCTTTGTCCATAACCCTCGCTCTGATTCGTCGCTTTCATACTGCGGACTGATAGAGGGGTTGATGGGACTTCCCCTCCCCTGGCATATCCAAATACATAAAGGTAGATCCTAGCGGGAAAACACCGGTGGATTGGTCTCAGCGAGATCTCGCGATTGGCACCAGTGTATATTGTTAGTCAATGACTGATATCACTGTGTCGAGTCAAAAGGCCAAATTTTCC